TCTGACGATACTTCCGAGGAATGTCGGGAAGAAGTGGAATAGACACATGAGTGATTACATCACCCTCTCCGGATTACTGTCTCGTATGACCAACCAGGAGTACAATATCCATTTCCTGGCCACTTCAAACTGTGCCTCCGCGCTGGAACTACTGGACGAGGCTGTTGATGATATCAAGTAAGCATTACTTGAATTACCTCTTCAAACAGTGGATTCATAAACAAGTTTGACCTCTGGCTCTTTCTTGGCCCAGTGACCACAGTGCCAACGGTTTTTTTGCTTACGACCACGTCAGTGGTACACCACGAAGTCACTTTTTGTTGAAAACCCGCTGTCAAGGGGTTGTGAAAGTTAACCAGTGAAACCCAGGTGAAACCCCGCGACAGTCCAATCGGAGTACCGGCTGTACAGACGGGCTATAAGACTCCGCACCTCAACCATTGGATTTCCATATGTACAACTTGATTTCACCACATCATGTGCAAAGCCGCGATGATGCTAAACGTTCCCGCTAGTTTTCTGAACAGCGGATGGATTGGTGGTCCACAACCGCTAGCTTTCAGCTGCCCGCGGGCTAAGTCCTGGTGCGTTAAAAGTACCCTCGACCAAAGGATGAGCGCTCATTTTTCCAATCAGTCATTTTATTTTTAAATTTATTACATTCAACTCACTGCCTGACTCAGAATCAACTTATAATCCATCAGCAATGGTAGAACAATGTAAACAATTCAACTCTTGATTCATTCGCATTATCGACAGCAGGCTGATTTTGAATCCTTGAGGAAGGCTTTGTCGAGTGTTCTCCTGGAGGAGAAGAAGACGAGACTTTCTTCTCTTGTACCGCTTGTCCTGGTGGCAAGAAGATGAAGTTCACATCGATCCGCAATCATCGCAACAGACCATCACATAAGCGACACTTCAATCAATGGCTCGCACGCAAAAAGGCCATCACCCAAACTTCCAATCATTCACCTTTGCGACCAAGCCCCAATATCGATGACAACGTAAATATGACTGACGAAATGGCCAATCAGGAAGCTTACAACAATGCAGCTGTGGAAATTGCCGCCGATCCACTTGAGGATGAACGCCGCCGTCGCACATTGATTGAAATGTGGACAAAAGACCATACATCTTTGTTT